AWTRCCTGGGATTGACCTGAGGATGCTCTAAATGTGTCCCTGTCCCCTTAGGGCAGGAAAATCCTTCCTAATTGCCCTGGGGCGAGCACCCCCAGGCTGGGCTGCTGCAGGGCAGGGTGGCTCCAGTGCCACCCCCAATCCCARTGGCTGTGCTGGGCTCCAGCACCGATTCCTGGGGACACAGGGGTGACATCCCCAGTGCCACTGGAGGTCTCTTCACCATCAGGTGGCTTTTTGCATAATAAAACCTTGCAGTCAGGGAATCACCAGCTCTATCCCAGGACAGCAGCTTCCCAAGGAGCTTTCCTGAGGGGCCAGGGCTGGAGCAGCAGGTCCCCTGCTCACCCCAGCAGTGCTGTGAATATTTCATTACAGCTCCATTACTCACCCCCAATTGGAAAAGTGATCAAAAATAATTTGGGAATTACTCGCCTCATTGGCTCCAGCCCAGCAGCCACACAGTCAGGGAAGCACAGCTCTGCTGACTGATGGATTCCTGGAGCCCCTGTGTGTGGCTGTGGGAATTGGGGGTGGCTCCTGGAGGACACATCCCCTCCCTCCCACGGGCTGTGCCACTGCCGACCGCTGTGACACTCCCTGCCAGCCCTGCCGTGCCCTGGGCCAGCCTGAATCCCTTCCACACCACAGCAGGGACTCCTCAAGGGACAGATCACCCCATGGGACCTCGCTCTGAGCCTGGTTTTGGGACTGTCTCTGAAGCTGGATGCACATCCCTGGGCATCTCCAGCATTGCAGGAACCCCCTGGGGCTGGGGGAAACAATGGGCACAGGACACCAAATTTTGYTTTTCTTTTACGGGTTGGCTGATGTGTGTGGAGAGCACAGCCTGTAAATAACCCCTCACACCCATGAGGATCCCTGGGCTCATAAACAATAACTGTAACTCACAAACCAGCAGCTTCCAGGCTGAAAAAAACAAATACTTTCTGCACAGCAAAACAACGGCCCCAGGTGGAAAGGGCACCTGCAGCCAGGCCAGATCTGCCCTGCACGTGTTCTGCCAGCTCAGGCCCCACCCAGGAAACACCCAACTGTCTGTCTCACCACAGGCCGGGATGAAATCCAGGTCATCCAGCAGAACCTCCCTGCTACTGCCACTGGTTCAGAGCAGACAAACCCTCTCGTCCCTCCCTCCCTCCCTCCCTCCCTGTGACCCTCAGCTGCCAGCCTGCAGGCGGGTGAGCCCGGCTCAGCTTGTGCCATTGTACAGAGGATGAGATGCTTCTGCTGGGAAATGGGTTCTGGTCTGTTCACAGCAACAACGGCCAGCACGGCCACCTGAGGCACAGCTGTCTGGGAGTAAGGAAAAAACAATGGATATGATGGAAGAAAGGCGGCTGAAGGAGGCAGTGGTGGCCCTGACACCTCGGGAAGCAAGCCTGAGTGTGCCACAAGGACAGGGATCCCTGCATGGGCACCACTCTCAGCATCTCTGGCGTGTGCCAGCGCTCTCCCCCAGTCCAGGTGCCCTGAGAGCTGCCCAGTGTCCCCCAGGTCCTGACAATGCTCTGGTGTCCCCCTGAGAGGAGCAGAGAGATGCTGCAGGCGAGGCTCGCCCCAGTTCATGAGCCAGAAAGGAAAATGCAGGATGAGAGGGCAAAGCCGAAGTGTCGGCGCTCCAAGGAGGCGATGCCACATGTCAAACATGTCAGGTGCTCACAGTTCCTGGGGGGCAGTGGCTGAAATTTCTTTTTCAACCTAAAAAAAGCCAGGGAGCTCATTCAGAAGAGCAAAGCAAACCCTCCCTCCTAGAGTCCGTTGCTGTCGATGGCTGTCACGGAGGCCGGGGTGGACGAGCGCGAGGTGGTGGCCGAGGTCTTCTCGAGGGCCGGGCTGGGGATGCCATCGAGGCTCTTGGCCGCTGCTGCCACCCGGCCCGTGGGCAGGGCCAGGGGCTTGCTCTGCCCGTGCAGGCCTTGCCCACAGATGCGGTGGTGCCTCTCCCAGTCCTTGTGCTGGCAGAAGGAGCCGCAGTAGCGGGCGATGTTGCAGCCGCTGCACGTCTCGCTGGCCTTGCGGCCGCAGTTCCAACAGCTCTGCAAGACCAAAGACAGCGCGCTTGAAAGGGGTTGAGTTTCCCTGAGAGCTGCAGGATGGTGCTGACTCAGCTCTGGAGGGGACTGTTCATCCCCTCTGGCCCAGATTTGGTAACATTAAAACGAGCAATCCACTAATTCCTGCTATTTCCCAGCTCTTCCAACCCTCACTGCTCTTCACCCAAAGCCGCTGTCACACTGCTCCGGGCACATCCTCTCCCCTCCATCCACCCCAATGCAGAGAGGAAACAGCAGGCACAGATTGAAAAACATGCTGCAGATGCTGCTATTGGGTCTTTTTATTTCCTGTTTTAAGCAGCTCTATTTTGGTCTCGCTCCCAGCCAAGCGCTCTCCACAGGGATCACGGCGCGCTGCACAGGCACCATTTGCTCCGCACCCTGCCTCGCTGCACAAGAGGTTGAAGCAGGCCAATTTGGAAAAGCAAATGCTCATTTGAAAGCGTCCCAGCCAGGTGGAAGCACTGCCAGAGCCCGAGCTTCAATCTGGAAGCRGAGCAGAGCCCCTCTGGCCGCCGGGAGAGGTGTCAGCTGGTGGCTCCCGGAGTGCCACCGCTCCCTCGGAGCACGGGGCAAGGGGCCAGCACCGGAGCGGCGGCTGCAGCTGCTCCRGGGAGGGGAGGGAACGGCAGAGCAGCTTCCCTGCAGCTGGAGCAGGGCGTAGCAAACACATCCTGGGGAGGGCAAGCTCAGCTGCGGGAGTGCAGCCTCTGTCAGAGCTGGCCTGCTCGGATCTTGCTCTCTTTGTGGGGACAGTGCTGCGAAGAGCTGTGGGAGCAGGGTGCTGGGGGATGCTGGGCTGTACCAGCCGTGGGGAAGGGCAGTGACATTCCCACTGCCAGCCTCAGCACTGGAGCCACCAGCTCCTGGCAATGATTTAGGGGYTGGCAGTACAGTACCTGACCAGTTCACTTCAGAGTGAGCTGCTTCAGAGCCTCCGTGTCCCCAGGGCTCCTCCTCTTCCCAGCAGAAGAGGACAAAAAAAGCCCCTACCAAAGGCTGTGGTAGTTYTTGGAAAACTGGGTCACTGCTCTGCAGCTGTTTACACTTCACGTGTTTTTCAACTGTGTTGCAAAGGTTACAAGATGTGCCAGAACACGGGACAGCTCTCAGACAAGGGCTCTGGGGCTTGCACGGGGGGTGCTCAGGGGCTCCCGGGGTCCCAGACTGCTCCCCAGCACAGCTGGAGGAGRAGGACACTCCTCTGCCATTCCCCTATGGAGAAATCACTACTTGGCTCATTCCTTCCATGGCTTCCTAAGCAGTTCCACCCACTCCCATCATGTGTTTATTGACCCTCAGCAGTTTAATTGGGAAATGCAGTATGGACTTTCTGGAATGACACCTAATATTCCCTGGCTCTGGCTGTGCATGGGCTCCTGGTGCTCAGGTGAGCTGAAACCCAGCAGGAGGAGGGGATGGACCTGCTGCACTTGTGCAGAGGAATTAAAATAYGGAGCAAAGCCCACTTGGATGGGAKGTGGCAGGAATCAGCCATGTGATTCACCTTCCCCAGAATCCCAAAAGCTCAACCAAGTGAACTTCCTGCCAAGCAGCCAGGAAGGTAATTGATGATTGAGGAGCAGAAAGAGATTCTGTGAGACACCCATTCAACAGGTGTCACTGGCTGTGACAAACCAASAGCCATCCCTTCTTTTCCAACATGCAAGGGTGGTACTGACCACCAGAACATGCACCTTCYCCTGCATCCCAGCTTCTGCCCAAAACCAGCAATTCCTTTTCTGCACAGAGCAAGTACACSACCATAATATCTGAGCTGAACAGCTGCGTTCACCAGCACCCTTTTCTCTTCGCTGCTACACCACTCTCAATCCCACAAAATCCCTGCTCATTACACTGGATCCAGCTCAGGATGCCCAGTGGTTGCACACACGTGGGTGCTGCAGACATTATTGAGGCTGGTCCCCTGCCAGCAAAACCTAAAAGGGATTTTTTATGCTATCGGTGCACTGCTTTAGTTATTGATTGGAGASAGACTTCTAAAAGGAAAAGGTGCTAAAGGCYAGGTTGGATGGAGCTTGGAGCACCCTGGTCTGGTRCAAGGAGTCCCTGCCCATGGTGGGGGCTGTGAATGAGATGATCTTTGAGGTCTCTTCCAACCCRACCCAYTGTGTGATCTAYGATTTTATGATGGGATGGGAGAMCTGCAGGCTTCACCTGGAGACTCTGTGAGCCTTGGATACCCCTTCCCAGGAATGTCCCCTGGCYCCTCACCTCAGTGGACTCCTCCTGCTCGTTGATGACCAGGAAGGCATCCTCRGTGGCCTGGCGCTTGGCGTCGGCGATGGTCTGCTCCATGCGYGCCCGCTCCGACGCGATCATCTCAAACGCCTTCTGCTCTGCCTCTGCCACCGCCTTCTGCACCTCCGACATGGCCTGGCGCTTCACCTCGTTCACAGCTTCTTCTGGAAGGAAAGAGCAGCCTCATCCCCCGCCCTGGGAGCAGGGGAGCTTCCCAGGGGAACAGTTCCAGCAGCGTGTTCCCAGCACCAGCATCCCGACTGCTCCCGGGAGCGGCGAGGCCAGGCCTGTCTCACGGGATCCATGCTGGCACCCCAGAGGAGCTGAGCCCTTTGGAAAAGCCAGGGTGGGGATGCTGGCAGCCCAATGTGCACATCCCAGGGCGTTTCTGCAGCTGGGCTCCTGCTGTTTCTGCCCAGCAAACCCGCAGTGATGTGTGTTTACCCCGAGAGCTCCGGCAGGATCCTGGCAGAGGTCACCCCAAACACTCACCAGCTTTTTTCCAGATCTCCTCAGTGACGTAGCCCGTTCCCGACCTGCTGCTGAATTCTCGCAGGGAATCTGTTGGAGTAAGGGACACAGGGAAAGGTTGGCAAAGCCTCATCTCACCCAGCTGCTGCTCATGTGCCCAGTGGTACCTC